TTCTCTGAAACTTTATTTCTGTGGTGACTAGTTGTCTTTTGTGGGTTTTTTATTGTTGTTGTTGTTGTGAGTGAATGTGTCTCGTACAGGTATCACAGAGTTGGAATGAATGTGTTTTGTTTCTGCTGACTAGGATTGTCTTGTGTTGTATGAGATGTTTATTTGTGCTGACTGGGATTATCTTGTGTTGTATGAGATGTTTATTTGTGCTGACTGGGATTATCTTGTGTTGTATGAGATTTTTCTTTGTGCTAAATGGGATTGTCTTGTGTTGTATGAGATGTTTATTTGTGCTGACTGGGATTGTCTTGTGTTGTATGAGATTTTTCTTTGTGCTGACTGGGATTGTCTTGTGTTGTATGAGATGTTTCTTTGTGCTAAATGGGATTGTCTTGTGTTGTATGAAATGTTTCTTTGTGCTAATGGGATTGTCTTGTGTTGTATGAGATGTTCCTTTGTGCTAATGGGATGGTCTTGTGTTGTATGAGATGTTTCTTTGTGCTAAATGGGATAGTCTTATGTTGTATGGGATGTTTCTTTGTGCTGACTGTTATTGTCTCGTGTTGTATGAAATGTTTCTGTGTGTTGACTGAAATTTTCTTGTTTTGTTTGAGATGTTTCTGTGTGTTGACTGCTATTGTCTTGTGTTGTAGGAGAGGGGCAAGCTGATCCAGTATTGGGTTTTTTTACTGCATGGTAATTTCTTCATTTAATTTTCAATGTACGGTAAATGTTTTTTTCCCCTGGATATATTTAAACTGAGATGTCTGTTTAATGCCTTCGCACTGTCATATTTAAGTTCTGCTTCTTTCTTCCTGTTGCCATTGATTCTGTCTTGTCAGTATTGATTCTTATTTGTGTTTACATTCTTCATTTATAGATGTTAGTAATGGTTACAATTTCATGATTGGATCTCTCTCTATCAAGGCCTGTTCCTAGGCAATGAATAATTCTTTGATCTTACTAAATTCTTTTTTGGTTCCTGAGCTTAACAACATTGCATAAACGTATGTGATAAACAGCAGTGGTGATAAGACTCATCCCTGTCTTACTCTAGATGTTACTGTGAAAAGTTGAGATGTTTCCCGATTTTTCTCTACATACTCTTCTACAAAACCAATATACAATATCCTATACTTCAGTTAGGTGTTCGCTTACTCCATATCGAACCATAACTTTGTATCTTTGTTTTAAGCGAGGTCATGAATTGTTGCGTTTTATACCCTCGTATAAATCGACCCAGAGTCTGTTGAATTTTTAAAATAAAATCTGAAAACTTAAACTTAAACACCGCAATTTACAGTAGTGTCTCTTATTATTATTCTGTAACGTATATAACAAGCCGTTAAGAATTATTATAATCTGAAACTGTTTTAGTTCTCTCAGGAAACATTTAAATTGTCAACTTCTCTATCTGCAGACGTGCCCATTTAATACCTACAAAACTGACGTCCAGTATGGCTATCGGCAGTCCACCATCTGTTAGTGCCATCACTGAGATGATTCAGATATCTAGCCCGGATATTAGTGATGAGTCTATGGTGATTTTCTTGTGGGTTGGCTACACTATCATCTGCGAGATCATCGATCTGTTTGGCACTGTGACTAACATCTTCAACATCGTCTGTTTTATTAAACTGGGATTCCAGGATCCTGTGAATGTCAGCCTGTTAGGTGAGAAGGCAGCTAGATTTATGTTGTGTTTTTAACGGTTGTTTATGATTTCTGGCAAAGTTGTTAAAAGTAAACACCCACAACGTTAACAGTACATAGATAGCTGAGCAGGCAATGTCAATGAATGGCACAATATCAACAGTGCCAGGGTTTCCTGTAACAAGTTTATTGTTCATTTAGAGATAATTTTCATCGCGCATGAGACATGATCATAAGTGGTCTGATCTCCTTCTGAGTATGTCTCCAAGTGTTTATAGGCTAACAACTCCCATTGTGTTCTTGCAGATTACTTTTGCTGTGACTACAAGTAGTCTGACTGGAGTAACGTGACTAGAGATACAGACATTCACTGGGGCATGCTTTCTAAGTGACTCCATGAGTATGCTCAGGAAGATAGAGAAGGGCTGGGTCCGAAGGCGGTGGCTGGTGGCTCTACGGCGTTCACGGCTGACAAGGATTAGTTTCATTTTCTTGCCTGGATATGTGGGAGCACAAGAAAATGAGCACGCCGATTGACATGCAGGTAAGGCTACTGTGAAAGCCGACAAGCCATGGATCAAGCTGACATACAGCTTATGGACTGAGTGGTTGGACGTGCATTGATGATAATCTGTCTACTAACTAAATAACTCATCGACGGGTGGTTCCCGCGTGATTTTCCTGTCTCGCTGCTCCAGATGGTACACCCAGGATAAACAGTCTGTTCAGTGAAAAATCATTTCCAACAAAACTGAAAGCCTCACAGCGTTTAGCCTCTCGTATGGCATTGTGATGTCTCTCCTGTCTATAGATGGCATATTCCTGATAATCGCACTGCAAGCCAGGGCGTCTGCTCTCTCATAGCCTTCCACACCAGCATATCCTGAGACAAAAACGAATGGAATTTTGCGAAACGCTGCGTAACATGTATTACTGAGCAATCGATTTAATCAGCTGTAATATCGGTGGTTTTATAGCAGTCTAGGACTTCTTCTTCTTCTTCTTCTTCTTCTTCTTCTTCTTCTTCTTCTTCTTCTTCTTCTTCTTCTTCTTCTTCTTCTTCTTCTTCTTCTTCTTCTTCTTCTTCTTCTTCTTCTTCTTTCTTTTCTTTTTCTTTTTCTTCTTCTTCTTCTTCTTCTTCTTCTTCTTCTTCTTCTTCTTCTTCTTCTTCTTCTTCTTCTTCTTCTTCTTCTTCTTCTTCTTCTTCTTCTTCTTCTTCTTCTTCTTCTTCTTCTTCTTCTTCTTCTTCTTCTTCTTCTTCTTCTTCTTCTTCTTCTTCTTCTTTTCTTCTTCTTCTTCTTCTTCTTCTTCTTATCGTTGGTTATTCATTTACCTCTGGGCTTTGATCTAATTTATAGAATTCGAGTTTTGTTTGCTAATCCATATTATAAAACAGTATCAAAACTGCTGATTTCTAGCCTATCAGACGGATACTCTGCGACGTCAAAGAAACACCCTTAGGTAGTCGCCTTTTACGACATGCTTGTTAGGGGGACATTGGGCTTATTCTTTTTTTTTCTTTCGAAATAAGAGCCCTGAGCCCACATGTAAAATCTATGGCGTTGATAATTGTAAAGATGACGTTCTTGAGCAATACTGTCGCTTGTCTGTGTCACATATAATACATGTAAAGTGCCACATATAATACACGTAATGTCTCACATATAATACACGTAAAGTGCCACATATAATAAACGTAAAGTGCCACAGATAATACATGTAAAAGGCCACGTATAATACACGTAAGTGCCGCATATAATGCACGTAAAGTGTCACATATAATACATGTAAAGTACCACATATAATACACGTAAAGTATCACATTTAATACATGTAAAGTACCACATATAATTACACGTAAAGTATCACATATAATACAGGTAATGTGCCACACATATTACACGTAAAGTTATTAACTTTGTAGTTATAAATCAAAATCAGCTACATTATAACTGTCGGCATCTGTGGCTTAGTCGTCGCTAACGCGCTTCGTAATGCCGGGTTGGCAGGTACAATCCCAGCCGCGGACGATTTGTCTTGCGTTGGTTTCGACAGTGGTACTGAGACCCGACCGTGCAGTAGGCAAAGACAAACTACTGAGCCTAACAATTGCCTAGAAAAACCACAACAGAAAGAAAAAAAATGCTGTGTTCAGTTCTGCAACGTCCTGTAAAGGATACACAACTTACATTATAACTAAGATGTACCATTTGTTTAGACAATAAGATAATTGCAAAATGTTCCAATAAAACAAGCAAACTTGAGACAGAACAATAAATAAATAAACACAATAATGTAGTCTATGTCGAAAATAAGGGTGACTCTTTTTTCTAGTAAATATACTTAAGTGCTTATAGGTCGAGATCTGTGGCTAGGGGTTTATGAAAGCGGCTCAGCACTTCCAAATACCTGATAAGATTTGGCTGCAGACGATTTGACAGGATACCGTTTTGAGCTGCTTTCGACAAAAGTGTGAAGCTTCGACTCTTCTGTGTCTATACTGATATTGAAGGTAAATTGCCTAGTAACCGTCACACATCATTATCAAGTGCATTGTCAACTGGCATGGGGATCATGCATCTCCACAATCTGCTATCCGCGAATTCGTGCATCAGTTAGTGTGTTGACACCCTTCCATACCATGACAAAAGGTTGTCGCTCTGTCTTCCTCTGTCTTTCTTTCCACAAATCTTTCCACTGGTCACAACATGTTCCATTATCCCTCTTCTCAAAACATGACCAACAAATGATGATTGTCTCTTTCTAATGTTTGTGATGTTGTCTTCGAGCTCTCGCCTTTTTCAAAACATCTGGGTTGATCTTTTGGGCTGTCCATGGAATTCTCAGGATTCTTCTGTAAAATCCACGGCCTCATTAAGAAATCTGTGAAAATGGATGAATGTAAACCAAAGCAACAGCACGTGCATGTTTGTGAAATTCCGAAATGGAAAGAAATATACAGCAGACATGCATCTTTCCAACGCATCAATAAGTTTCTATGGAAACAGTGTTTTATTAAAATTAATTAGGGCTCCATGGTTGACCATCACGACATGAATACAAGGAACTTCATGAAACAAATAATGGCAGCAAACATGGTAGTGACTACAGTATAACAACGTGCTGATCAGTTCTACAAACGCCTCAGTTCGAGGGAAATTATCCTTCTTGTACCCATTAGGCGAGAAACAAACACAGGAAAAATATTGTATTATGCCTACAACATATATATGCCAAATATATTATTATTTCATACTTTTTGTAACTAACAGATGCCATTAACATTGTTATCCGATTGAATTAAAAGATCCTTATAATGAATTATACGTTGTCTTTCGTTTATTTAGGGCTTGCGATCTCTGACCTGTTCTGTGTTGCCAGTCTCTTATGGACAAACGTCTGCATGAACCCAGCCTTCAATGAGGCAGATCTTCCCTTCGAGCCAATGGAAGTTCAGTTTATTACAAGTGGATTTTTACACACGAACTTTAACCGTGTGACGAGCTGTATAACAGCATTCATCACGCTAGAGAGGTGTTTGTGTATCACAGCTCCACTAAAGGTGCGTTGTCTGCGATATGATCTTTCTGTCCTGCATGTTTTGTATCAAATAATGTCTTTACATTTAAGTTTCATCTATTTCTCTGCTGGTCTATTGATTCGCGAAGATCTAGAGTTTAAATTAAAGGGGAAATTTGTTTCCTAAACTGACCTTAGCTCCTAGGTCGACTCAGTGTAAATGTGTACTATCTAGGGTTCTGAGGAGTAAATGACGCCGGCGCGATGCTGATCACATATCCAATAGAGGTCGATTAGTGTATACAAATACAGGTCTTGCACAGGTTGCCCCAATGTTACCCTTCTTGTCCTTTTTAGGACGAAATTTTTTCGTTATTTGAAACCCTGCTCTGGCTTTTGCCAGGGGCCGCAATATAGCCCGGCCATAAATATGGCCTAATGGCTGAACGCGGTTTCTGGGACCTCTCCACGGTGATCCTCATCCACATGGTGGCACATTGTGTCATCGGGTGTTTATCGCTTGTGTGATGTCCAGGTAGGATAGAAAGTCAGCCAGTCAGTCAATTTGCCCGATGCGACACTAGGGTAAAAAGGTTTTTTTTCTGTTCTCTTACCGACTTTACTAATAATGTGGATTATCCTCACCATTAATATAATTATCACCGCCAACCTCATCATTGCCAATATCACATGCCCTGGCAATTTTCATATTTCCTTATATCATTCCATAGATCTGGATCCTTAGCAGTTTGAATCTACTCTATGACGTGTTTCATTTATACCGTGTCGTGATAATTGAACTTGTTTATTAGTCTGTATCTTTTACCGACGTTTATTTATGTTTGTCATTAGGCTTTCCAGTGTCTCTTTCATGATTAAAAGAATTGGAGAATACAGTTTTCTTTTTTTATTGCGGACATTTCTAATATTGTGACTTAGCTTAGATTCTCCAACATAATCATTGTTAGTTATTCACCACAGAGTCAGGACTTGGTCGAGCCGCACGTCCAATGTTAGGCGTTTAACTTGTCATACGTTCCAATTTTGTCAGTTACGTCGAAAAAACCAACGAAAAAAAAAAAAATTATTTTCAAAGGTGTTGAGAATTGGCCACTCAGGCCCGTCTAACATTCTTCTCTTCCAGTTCAAATGTTTAGTTTAGTAATCAACCTAATGTTATCTAATAGGCTGCGTAATAAAAACATCATAAACACAAATTAAATGTTTGTTACAAACGCTGCAAAGTGTTCGACTGCTACCTTTTTTTTAAACAATAAAATCTTCATTTAAAATCACCCCCCCCCCCCCCCCTAAAGGCGAAGGTAAGCACTACGGAGGATGCTAGAATGATCATATTTAATGCATCCTGGTATAATGTTTTGCAGGCCAGATCAGACCACTAGCCTCGTTTGGAAGTAAGGAAGTTCCAGGGTGTATGCAGACAGATCTATGCTTGTCTGATCTGGCAGTTTCTGCAGCATCTCCTGTTCCAGGAGTATGGGTGTTTCTGGCACTTAGAGACTTAAAGAAAAGTTTGCTCAGAGAGATCCTCCTGCAAGGGCAACACATGGTCTCTACTTTAGTGCCCTGGCTTCGTGCTAGAGGTAGGAAACTTCATCCCTGTCCTTAACTGGCATTGCTCTATACTGTTACCTCCATGTCTCCTCTCTTCCATTGCAGAATAGAAAGCTATATTCTGGGAGAAAACCTATTTAAGAACAGCGTCATGATTACCGTATCACATATTTCTAATAGTTTTAAAATAAGATATTTTTGTTAAACTGAAACTTAGTTTATGGAGATATAAACGTATATAACTAGATATAAACGGGAACATGTATAGAGTTCAATGACTTTAATATCTCACCGTATTATATATCAATGGATTACATGTATCATTATACAGTTTATACAAATTAACTTACAATCCTGTGTCGTGTGCTTGCAGTTAAAACGAATCTTGACACCCAGACGAGTCGCAGCAATTATGGTATGCTTGTATCTGGTTCTCCTGACAAGCGTGGCGCCAGTCTACTGTGTCAACGGCCTAGGAATGGTGTTCTCCCCTCTAAGGAACAAGACTCTTATTGGTCTTGTATATACAAGAGATCAACAGATTGTAGAACAGGTGTCTTTCGCCATAAACAACGCACTTATCCCGTTCGCTGCGTTTCTGGTCATCACAGTCTGTACTATGGTTTTAGTGGACAAGCTGAGAACTCAAACAAAATGGCGTCAGATGGCTACGGCGTCAGGACAGCGTCAGCTCATTTCTACTCGTGATCAAAAACTGGTTAAAATGGTCATCGTTATTTCCACGCTTTTCATCGTTTGCTTTATCCCTGTTTCTGCCGGCTTTATCACATACATGGTTACCCCGGAGTTTAAGTTTAATGGGAAGTACAGGAACGCCAACATTGTGTTTATAGGAATAGGTTTGATACTGGAGTCTACCAATTCTGCCACTAACATATTTATCTACTATTTTATGAGTAGTAAATACAGAAATATGTGTCATAAGTTGTTTTCATGTTGAGAATAAAACGGCAACACGTTTTTAAATGAACGATAATGAACATAACTCTCATGTATTTATTACCAAACAATGCAGCCTTTAGCTCATCATACAACCTGCCTTTTGTTAATGTAGGCAAGTCAGTAAAATAGCTTCCCATCGCATTACGGAATCATGTATTTGGTGCTAGAAAAGTATTTTTTTTTAACAGACCAGTTAGCAACAGATAGGGGCGTGCTGACATCACGGGGGACCGTCTTCCCTGCCCATAACATGTTCTCGTACCCAAAAGAGAGTGGACTGGTCAGAGAGCTTCGAGATTCGTTAACCTGTTTTGCTAATGGATACCATATACAGAGAGATGTATGCGATTAGAGTTTTGCGGGATGTACGGCCAAACAGGTGCTCTGTGGGTACATTGCACGCATTTATACCTAATGACATCATCATTTATTCCCCCACCCCTTTTAGTGTTGTAAACTTGTCTCTTTATTCCTGAAGTTTTACTACAAGTAGGTTGTATTTATTAGTATTGCCATTACTGTTTGTTTTTATCACTGATGCCTTGTAGACAAGCAGGCCTGTTTGCCCGAGGGCCGCACGGTAAGCTCTGTCCTACAAAGTCTGCAGCTTAGGATTTTAATTTTACACAAGACATAAAAAATCTACATCCTTACAGAGTATTCAAACCACGGTCTCCCACGTGACAGCCCTGCGTCAGTAACCATTTGGCTAAACGCTCCTCACATACCTAAACTAAAGCATCAGCTTTTAATTGTTACCAGATTTTTTATGTAAAACTAAAATCTGCTTTTATTTTCTGTTAAAATCCTTTTTAAGTGCTATATCTTTGTAAATGAATGAAGTTCAACCCACCAGGACCACACATCAAGCGATAAACACCCAGGGACACAAAGTGCGCAGTTCGGATGAGAATAACCCAGGCGCAAGTACAAGAAATCTCGAAGAAAAGCCCCAACAACAGCAGGAGTGGGGTTAAAATATAAAAAAAAAAAAAAAACGAAAAATGCATCCCATATTAGGACGGCAAGGTAAGTGTTTCATAAATCTGTTTATCTTTGATGTTAAAATGATAGTTTACTTTCAATACAATGCTATTTTTTTCTAAATCTAAATAACGCAGACACAAAGAAATTGCTGCACAACCGTTTGCCTGTCATATTTCGCTGTATCTAGTCAGGTGCCTTACTGCGGGGTTGAATCACCATATATAAATCGCACACACGCGCCGGCGCACATACACATATAAAATGAATCATTTCGGCAGAAATAAATAAATCTTTTCCTCAGTTCAGATTATACATCTTCCTCTTTTCTACTTCCTCTGTCCCTTATCCCCTAATGGAGTATAGGCCCTCAACATTTTGAAGCCAAGTCGTCCTGTCTTTCGCTATCGCATGTAGCTCAACCCAAGCCGTTTTCTTCTTTTTTAAACTTCAACTCTCTGGTTCAATTATCCGTGTATTTTGTTGGCTTTCCTGTGTTTCTATGTCCTTGTGAGTTCCAGTTTAAATCCTTTCTAGTTATATTGTTGTCAGGATTTCTCAGTGTGTGTGATAATTAATGCCATCATCTTTTACTCATCTCTTGATTCACTGAAATTTGTGTAGTTCCCTCCCAAAGCACAACATTAGTGATTCTATCATATAATTTCATTCCCAACTATTTTAAGTAGTTACCAGTTAATAAATGCTTGCAGTTTACTAGCAGCTGTTTTAGTTGTAATATATGTTTTCACGGCATACAGTAAAAACTGATTTAAAATTAGAATTTAAACGTGAAGTATTTATTTTTATTCTAGCTTCGAAAGTTTAAAAATGCTATGAACTGGTTGATTGACCTTATGCCCCACCAGGACATCACACCGAAAGATAAACTTCTGGTGATATATAGTGTCATTATACGAATGAGGATCACCCGGGAACAGGTCCCAGAAATCGAGTTCAACCCATATATTGAGTTATACTATAGCTCCCGACTACAGCAAGGATGGGGCTTCAAAAAGCTACTTTTGCCGATTCTATTCTGATTTTAATATCTCCAACCCTCGTGTGGGTTTCGGTGGCCCCATTGTGGGGGGGGGGGACAAGAATAGACCCCCTGCCTCCCCCAAAAGCATGTCGTAAGAGTCGACTAATTGGGGAGCTTCCTTTGAAGTCGGAGTGCATCTGCCGGAGAGGCAAGTAACCAACAGTCTGTATTCAAGAGAATCAGATCTGTAAAACTGATGCACACGCAACACTCAGGTTCTGGAGTAGGACTGCAGTTTAATAGTGGACGATCAACCATAAAATTCCGCCAGAGTGTATAACTGGTGAACGAGAAGAAGAAGAAGAGGAAGAAGAAGAATATCTCTAAAAGCTCATCACTAATCATTTACGTTACTGCCCAGACAGATGTATGACTCTACAACTTTGAGAGGGATATCACAAGAGATATTAGATTAATTTAGCCTGCTTTATTCTCATTATGTTTGTCCTAACTTTGTGTATGCGAATTGTTTTGTTATGCAACGATCAGTAGGAGTTGCTTTCGCTGCCGCTATATTCTTTTGAATGCTAGTTTCCTCTTAAGTCCCTTGCATTAATTTTTACAAATTACATTTCTCTGTTATCTCCCTTGATTCTATTTGAGGCCTTTTTAAAGAGTGT